CGGAGGGGGCAGAGCAGAGACAATCCGGACCGCTGTCCTTCCTCCTCTCGGCGGCGGCGCCGATCGCTCCTCGCCTGGCGCGCCTGCGCAGGCTCGCGACACACGCGCGAGGCCGGGAGCCGCTTCACCCCGCCCTTTACATAACGGGACCACGTGCGCGGCCCTCACGAACCACAACAGCCAGAAGCCTTCGCTGCTATTGGAAGAAGGCTCGCGGGCTCGCCATTGGCTTGGTGCGGCGGGGGACGGAAATTTCCACCGACTGGAATGCAAAAGAGCGAGCCGAGGCAGCCAATGAGGGAGCTCGCCATTGGCTTGGTGCGGCGGGGGACGGAAATTTCCACCGACTGGAATGCAAAAGAGCGAGCCGAGGCAGCCAATGAGGGAGCTCGCCATTGGCTTGGTGCGGCGGGGGACGGAAATTTCCACCGACTGGAATGCAAAAGAGCGAGCCGAGGCAGCCAATGAGGGAAGGGTTCGCCTAATAAGAATGAAAGGGCCGCCCGCGCCAGGTGAAAAGGGGGAGGGGTTGTGTACTGTTGGCAGTGTGGATGGAGAGTTCACCATAGCAACGCAGAACAGCAACCGCGGAGAAAACACGTCGGCATTTAACTGAAGATTAACTTTCAGCCCACCGTTCTTCTGTTTACGTGTGCAATCCTATACTCATCTAATCCAAAGGAGCTAAAGTGGACGTAATTAGTCTTTGTCTATAAAACTCAATTTGGAATGGACTGTCAGCAGTGAAATATTTAAGTGTGTTCGTAGGGAACTCGTGTATAATAAATAGATTGGCCGTTTCCTTAGCTGGTTCAGTAGTTGTATTCATGCTGCAGAGCCGTTTACTTAGGTATGTACTTGAATAACTCTTAGTTCGTTGTTATGGTCACTAGGAGAAAAGAGCCGAGGAGGGCAGGAATGAGGCGCCCAGATCTAGAGTTAGGGTGGAATATTATTTGGATCTGACAGGCATACAACTGACTGTTTCCAGAGAGGTTTTGGAAATGAGACTAAAAGCTGCACAAATTAGGTCAATGGCTACAGTTTGCCCAGGCCTGATGTAGGTGTTATAGTTACACTCATCCAGTTTATTTAACTTAGGTTTTAATTGCATTCAGTGGCAATTGAGTTATCCCATTAGGAGGAATTCCTTGCCAGAAAGAGTGATTAGTTAACTAAGAGCCAGTCGATGCCTTAATTAAAAGATCTAAATTATGCCTTGCTGATTTCTTTCTTTGTTGTGCCTTATTATATTTTTGTGTAGTTGTTGTTTGTTGTGGCTTGGAGCACACACACCTGCTCTGAACCCCAATGATGCCAAACTGACAAGGTATGAATCATGATATTGCAGTGCAAGCTCCTCCTCTTTTGTACTTGTGCCATGACATTGCATGCAAATACAACAGGGGTGGAGTTTTCTTCCAAATGTCTCAATGCGCATTTTGTTACTTGCCTCACTTGTGTAATATCTATGGCTAAGAACTTCAAAAGCTGGAGAGAACCTCAACAGTTGAATAATTTCAGGACAAAGTGCAAGAAATCCCTACAACCATCCACTGCTGTTAACGTTCAATTGACCATGAAAGGGAGTTCCATCAACTTGGAAGCTCTTCCTGAGTTGTTATGCCTGTGTGAGGAAGAAACACTTCTTGGTTTCTGCCATTTTTCCCAATGTATTGATTAAAAACATCAAGATCAATGCAGGAAATTAAAACCAAAACAAGTTTTGAAGTACATTAAACAACATTTTATTATGGCATAAGATCTCATGGGCTGCAGTCCACTTCAATAAATGTATGGAGGATTTTTGTGAGATATATCCATAATGAGAAAGATAAAAAGCAGAGATGCACTCTGAAGCTTAACATTAACAGGATATTAGAGCATGTGCATAACCCCCCCCCCAAAAAAACCCCATAAGAAACTAACCAAACTAATACAAAAACTTTTAAAAAGACTCTTCCTGTTGTTTTTTTCATTTTGGTTTGCTGTTTTGTGTTTTGTAAGCTTTGCTTCTGTGGCTTGTTGATGTAGATCTCTGGGGTACGTTTAAAACTGAAAATACTTCTATGTGGGTTTGGTTGGTTCCTTAAGCTTTATGGGTATTTTGTGTATGTTCTTAAGCTTTTAGGGTGTGCTAAAATACTGGTTGGTGATTTGTAGACCTAGCAATTGTAATAGTAATGGGAGGAGGTGGCACTAGGAACTCAGGAGATATTTCCAAGCATTGTCATCCTTAGGGGTTCTTTTCTGGGGTTACCTTAACAGATTTGTGCGTGTTTGATTCCTGTGGTGTGCTTCTGGATGCTTTACTGGAATGAGCAGCCCAATGACTTGCTTGATAGATGTACAGAACTCAGATATCTTGTGGCCAAAAAGCACCCTTTATATCAGGTACTCAGTCAAGGTTTGATTTATGCCAAAGACCTACTTCTATAATAAGAAATGTATTACTAGGGAGAATGCTAGGAAGAATTTGTTATCAGCTGTCAGTATATTTTATTTTACTTTTTTATTCCATTTCCAAATAGTGCTTCTGAAATCTTTCCCCAAGTGGCTCTGCAAGCAGTTGCAGAGACAAGGTAAGCTTCTCTTAGCTGATAAAGAATAAATGTTGTTAGTACATAACATTAATACAAAAGCTAAACGTAGATCTTTACTCAGCTTGCATGTTCTTAGCTGAAAAGTCAGTTCAATCATCAGTCTAGTTGAACACAGCAGAGAGGCATACAAGTGCAGTGAGAGGATGGATGCAAGCCACCCTCTGAAACATTGTCCCCCAAAGTCTGGACTTTTTATCTTTCAGTCTGTTCTTCTTCTGATTGCTCAACTTTCACAGCCATCCAAAACTCTTTGGTTCCAAATGGTCCTTTTTCTCGGGCCACCTGGAAAGTTCTGGAACATGCTGTCATTTCAAACAACTTTCCAACATGTATCCATCAGTGGTTTGTGTAGCCAACTTTACATTTTTTTCATGTTTAACCCCTTTATCTGCATGGCCCACTCACTCTCAAGTTAATCTGGTGTTCCCTGATGGAGTGTCAGTTCTCTTTTCTCCATCCTGTTGTTGCAGCTTTGTTTAATTTGGATTTTCTTTTTCTGGCAAGGCCTAAGCTTCTATACAGTTCACCAGTGTTCTGACCTTTGTCACCCAAGTATGAATTTCTAATGTCTAAACCACACTCTAAATAGTAATGAAAATAAGTTTCTAACAGCAGTAACAATGGCAAACTAACCTGCACATAGCATAAGCTGTTGTAATGGTAACATTTGTGGGAACTACAGTGGGAGATAGTGTTTTTCAGGGCAAAATGACATTTAGGTCAACAGCTAAGAGTTGTTTAGCTCCAAGGCTGAGAGACATAAGGTAAAATGTCCATTAAACCAAAGGAACGGTGAGAAAAAGAAATATGGTAATTAAAATGCTGCTGTATAGGAAGGATCTCCACTTTTTGTCAACAGAAAGTACTGTAACTAACTGCTTGAAGTGGCCTGTGCTTGAACACATCTATCAAAGGGGAGTATGTCAACTCCCTAAGCATTTGGTTCTGCTGTTTAACTTTTTTCTTTACACACTAGATAGAGTTCTGGGAACCACCAAATGGTGATATAAAAATTAGAAACGTGAATGTGCATGTAGAACTCTGGCTCAGTCAGTTAAATTACCAGGTCAAGATCAGCAAAGGAGGATATTTTCTCATTTATTTTGCATTTGGCAATTACAAATAGCCACTTTTATTGAGGAGATTGCTCCGAAGAGGGGTTAGTGATTCTATGAGAATCTAACACTATCTTTTCCTTTTGTTAAAGCAGGAAAACTACTTCTAATTTAATGAAAGTTGCAAAAATGGGTCTTATTCTTTACTTTTAGTCTATATCCTAGAAAATTTGTACTAAGGAAATAAATACTTATATATGTGCTTAATCATAAATCACCAGTTCTGTTTTTAACCTTTTGTCCCTTTTAGCAATTTAATGCTTCCTCTCCTCCAAATGACTATTCACTCTTTTAAAAACTGATAATTTATTTATGATTAGCTGCCTTCTTTTGTTAAGGATATTGCTTATTTATGGCTTAGAATAGTTGCCTCATAATTTCTTCCATGAGCCCTCATGGTTAGGTAATAGTTGGAAGTCTCTCTTGGAGCTATGAATAGAAGAATCATCATAGCTTAGCAAAGATTATTTTTAGTGCATGGCAGAGAAATTTGCCCACATTTTTTTCTACCAATTCCCATTCTGTTTGATGAAAGAGGTTGCTTTAGAAATTGTTTCAATGGAGAAATTCTCATGGGTGGAACGTGGTGTTCTGGTAGTTATTTAATTACAAGGTGCCCAAGAGATGTAGTAGTAGCTTATTAAGATCATAGACCAGAGTACAAATAAAAGTGAATGGATCAATACAATTGTAACTAAACTTAAAACAGTATAATTTATTTCAGACTTATCCTAAAGATACCATAATCTGGTGAGTTCTTGTCACTAATGAGCAAAATTTTGCAACTATATATGTTACATTAGAGACTCTAATGGCCAGAAAATAATTATTGTAAAATGCATTCTGGTGGTCTGGCCAATTTTTTTTTGTGGGGGCGGGTGAGGGTCAGGGTGGGGCAGAATTAACTTAGACTGAGAATCAAAAACTTGTAATGCAAAAGAAGTATTTGCTTGATTTGACTCCCAGATTCAAACAGACATAGTCTCTGGAGGAATATTAACCCTCTAAAATTGCCAAGAGACAATTTTAATAATCTTAATTTTAATACATTCAGTCAGGATGTAAAAATGCCCAGTGGTATTTAGAAAAATTAAGTGAACTTAAACACATTACAGGAAAGTGTCTCTGATAATCTCTTAAAGATCAATAATTCTTTGTGGTTTATGGTATGATAAAGTTAATGTGGATTTTAAAAATCACTATGTGAGAAATGCCACACTAAGAATATGGAACAAGTACAAACCCACTGCAGAGGAACATAGTTTTCAATGGGTTTCATATGCACAATTAAAAGAAAGATTTAATATAAAAAAGAGGGTAACTGGAATTGATAAACTTAAAATGGAATTTGAAAATGAGTTATGTACAAATGATGAACATGTAATTGCAAAGATGTATAAACTTTTGTTAAGATTTGAAACTGAAGAGGAACAAGATTGTATGATAAAATCGGCTACCAATTTTGGCTATAATATACAGATAAATTCATGGGAAAGAATGTGGGTAAATGGGATAACATTTATGTTATGTTATAATCTAAGAAATTTTTTTTAAATGTATAAATGTACTTCAAGTCAATGTTGGAAATGTAAAAAACATGAAGGACATTTTACCATGCATGGTGGACTTGTGAAAAAGCCAAGAAATTTTGGATACAAATACATACAGTGATACAAAGAATTTTAAAGATTAATATTGCAAAGAAACCAGCACTTTTTTCATTGGCACTCATGGATACTGAATTACAAAAGACTCATGGAAGATTAATTTTGCACATGGTAACAGTTATTATATGCACAAAGATGGAAGAATATTGAAATTCCCATAACAGAGGAATGGATTGTACTGT